GCATCTTCCTGTGCCTTCTCCAGGTTGACACCAGCCCCTCTTGCTTCGTGTTTTTAACTGGACATTTTAATAATGAGGCAAAGACAAGCCCAGGAAGCCTCCTACCAAAACAGCACACCCTGTACTCTTGTTCCCCATAGCACACCTAGGAAACACCTCCTGGGCTTGCTGGCCTGAGCAGGCTCAGCTGATGGTGGGAGCAGGTGAATGGAAATGAAGGACTCTGTCTCCTACTGTAAGGCATGTAGTGGACATACATCTGTTCTTGAAAAGCATATTCATACTTTGTAATGCAGATGTATTTCTCCTGGAGATGATCTGTAATGCATCAGAGGGGAACACACGTGGGGAGGTGGGGAAGAAGTACTGTACTCCTGCCGTCTCACACCTTTCCTTAACAAGATGAGCTTCAGGGATTTACAGTCAAACAAAAGGTGAAGATGAACCTCTTGTAAATGGTAGCACTTAAAATTCGTGCTGCTTTGAAGCTGCATGCTGAGCAGATGCTGCATGCACAGCCATTGCCCTCCTGAGATGTGGGGTTTAATTCACCTCCGTTTATGCCACCTGTTCCCCATGTGTTTGTGTTACACTGCTTAGCTCCCAAGGTGCCTGTGGACAAAATGAGCTTTTGTTCCACCTTGTGCTGCTCGAGTCTTGCTCATTCTGTCACAGGGTGTTGGACAGCACAAGCTGTGGCCAGGCTGAGCCAGACATTCCGAATCAGTCCCACAAAGCTCTCATCTGAGGAAACTCTTGGTCATCTAGCCGTGTTCTTACACCTCCTGCAGCATGTGGTATGGAGGTCACTGGGGAAGTTACCAACAAGTTTCCAGAGAAAAGAAGCCTTTCTGGGTGGTCAGCCTACCTTCCTGTGTGAGGGGAGCACTGACCGCAGTGATGCCTCTTCGTGGGAACCCACTTGCATGGGGAACAGATGGCATGCTCTGAGGGCTTTGGTGTGCTTGTGCTGGAGCTGGCATTGGGGGTGACACATGTAGGATTCCTTGGACAGAGGAGGAAAATCGTGGGGAGCAGTCAGGAAGGCAAGCTCCCTGATGGTCCTTGCAGAGTTCTAGTCATCTGAAGACCAGAGCAATGTGCTGCAGAAATAGGTTGTCCAACTCTAGAGTAAATGTTAAGCCTGAAGACAGATGTGGTTGTGGGTACCCAAGGAGCTTCTCATCCGGAACTGCATTAAGTATCTCCTGTGGGACACCAGAGAGCATGCAGACAGGAGCTGGAGTGCCTCATGGACTCACTACAGCTAATTCTTGGCATGATTTGTAATTATAGGACTCTTGAATCTGCTTATTGCCCCAGGGGCGTGTCTTGCACATCTTGCGTTGGAAAACTGTTGCTCATGAGCACAAGGCTGCATCTACAGCACTGGGCTGAAAGGTTCTGAGTAAAAGAAAGCCATATACTCTCACTTGTGTACTTGTGGCGAACAGAGAAAGGATATTTTGTAGAATTAATTCTAGTAGCATTTGGATGCATTCTCCAGTGTCCGTGACTCATTCAAAGAGCCAGTGAAAGGATGGCACAAGCCCATATTCCAGGGATATGCTGCCAAGTGTCTCAGGCTAGATGGGCTAGAGCTCTGACCCTTGTCTGCAGGACCTCAATCCTCTACATTAGTTATGTTTCCCTGGACAAAAACAGCAAGATGTGGATAAACCTGAGATAAATACAATTTCTATAGTCCTTGGTACTTCTTTAGCAGAGGGAAGTTAACCAATAGTTTATTAAATGTCTTACAGCTCTTTTTCAGTCATGGTTATCCATAGGTGACCATCTATTTCCAACATGACTGTACTGGAGGGAAGTGGCAGGGTTTGCTGCAGCAAATTCCTTCAGCTGCCAAAGCGAGGTTTAGGGCTTGGTGCTTACCATGCTGCTGCAGTACAGATACATCCTTTAAGCATCAAGAAAGAGATGTGGATTGGCTTTTTTTTTTCTTCAAAAAATGACATTTTGAAGTAGGTTAAATCTACCACTTTTCCACATTTTCTTAGAGAGAGATTTTTGTTCAGGCTGTTGTACGTGCTTTCCATGAGAAATTATTTATGAGCTCCTCAATCCCTCGTCTACTCTTCTTGATGTAACAATAGTAGATCTGGAGGAATGACCAAGGTTAGTTTTATAGTCTTGCTTCAGATGTAGTGCCAAGTTATTCAGTGCTTCGTTTTGTTAGTGCCTGAACCAAGGGGCAATTTATCTCAGCAATGTCCTTCAGATTATACCTATATACCATTTTACCAATAAGGCATGCACCTGCTGCTCCAGTCCCAGAAGAAATCAATGTTTCATTTCAGAGATGCCAGTTCTTTGCTCTCCCTCCTTTTGCCATTCTTATGAAGACAAACTTTTTAGGGGGCATGGGAAGAAATACAGAAGAATTGTGGAAAAACCTCCCCTACTTCAGCTAGGACATCCTGTTCAATTACGAATCATAAAGAAGCTCGCTGAGGGCAAGGTCGTCAGGGTTTAAGTGGTGAATATACATGAACAGGATGGGACATGCCCTTTGTTGGGGTCTGTATGGACGAGATGGGGCACAGCCTTTGTTGGGGTCCCCTCCAGATGATGGGCCTAGACTGCTGCAGTCCTGGAAGGAAGTGTACAGTGTGACCATGGCATTGCTGTCTTTGCTGGACAAATGCAAAGCTTTAGCTCAGTTCCTTGCTCACAGCCAGTTATCTATCCTGGCACTGGTGTAATTCTAATACATACTTTATTGCTTGTCAATATTTTAACCTTCCTGGCACATTATCCCCTAGGGCAGCCGAGCAGCCTTAATAATATAGCTGATAATTATCATCCTGGTGAATAGAGTTATCACTAGGGTCCTGTATAAATCACGTGGAAAAGATGACAGATTTCACTGGCTGATCATTACAAAAATGGGAAGAGGTGACAGCTTAATGGGGAAGGTAATAAAACCAACAATGAAGTAATTTATAATATAGGCAATGACTCTCAGGCTTTTGTATTTGTTTTCATGCTAATAGAAGATAAATGTCATATTAGGAATAAGACCTGAAATTTCTATTAAAAATATTTGGAAAATTTCATTACATATCAGCAATTCCCAGCTCAAGAAGTGGCAGCATGGGTCTTAATTACATCTCTTAATTACCTGTATGAGGTCCTTAGAACCCAAGTGGGGAATAATAGTATTTGCTTTGCTTTCTTGATGTGCTGCAAAGGGTGATGTTTCTAAATGCTGGCCACTGGTGGAAAGCAGGACAGCAGTCCTGGCAGGGATCCTGAATCAGGTACATCATGGCTATTTTGGTAGGCTGCAGGTTTCACAAGAGATCCAAGCTGTCATAAGCAAAGAACAAGACTTCAGCGCAGGTGTGAGAAAGCCCTGCAGCAGTACTGGAGCTGTGAGAAAGGGAGGGTGCATTACAGAGTGGACAAAGGACTAAGGCACACTCACTAGAAATATATGACGGACTGGTGTTTGCACCTGTAAGTTACCTGTTAGTATTGCTGGTTGGTCCTCTGGACTGCATGCTATGAAAGTGCATGTGTGCAGCCTTCGGCATTTATGCACCACACTAACAAAAGGTTTGGGAGTATGAGAGAGCTGTGGTGGGACTGCAGAGTGGGCAGGAGTGTCCTGGGAAACGGCCACAGCTCCCTGGGGGAGACCAGAGTAACAAGCAGCTGAGAGAGCAGCAGATGGGAGCCTGCGTGATCCGGGGAGGGACCGGGGCTGGGGCTGGAGGTGCTGTGGGCACTGTTGTGTGTTGAGTGGGTGCTGGGGCTGAGCAGGTGAAGACTGGCGTGGTGCTCCCCAGCAAAGTGCGGTTGCTGCCTGGGCATCATCCTGTGCACCGCCTACCTGTGGAGCCAGTGCTGCCATGGCTGGGAGAGCAGGAACACCTCTTCCCAGTCAGCAGCCTGGCCTGGGCTGGCTTGGCTCTGGATGGTCTCCTCAGCAGTGATTAATGTGAGGATGTCTCTGGGATGCAAGCTGGGGAAGGGAGAGCAGTGGAAAATACATTTGTGTCTGTGCTTAACATTCACAGTGCATTCTCTTGCATTTCTTCTAAACAAACACTATGAGGTCTGAGCCCCAGTACCTCTAATCTAGTGAGGGCCTTATTGATCAGATCTTGCTATTTGGTCCCCTGAGCCGCCTCGTGTTGCACAAAAGGGATAAATTGCTCCTTATACTTTCAAGAGTCAGAATGTTTTTAGTGTATGTAGACCCATATGATAAATACAGAGGCACAGCTGGGACGAGACTAGCAAAAAGCAAAGGGATAATTAACAGCTGGAACAGCACAAACTAGTTCCCAAGCCCAAGCCCTGAAGGAACACGATACATTCATCATGCTGCTCTCTGGGCTGATGCTGCAGCTCTGGGGTGCGTAGTATTGAATTACAGTCTCTAGAAAATATTGTTTGGGGAATGTTGAGGGGAGCTGGTAAACAATGTGCTAGAAGGTGACAGATACATTTGCAGCTTCATATAGGGCTTTCATAATAAAAAGAGCCATGCGGGGTTTTCCCCTCTCTGCCTGCCTGTCAGAGCTGGCAGCAGGCAGGCTGAGAGGGGAAAACCCCGCAGATGGGGGCTGGCAGGGCCGGCAGCCATTGGGCTTGCTTCCTTCTGATGACTGTTTTCTTTAAAATATTATTTTGTTACTGTGTGAAGCACTAACAATGGCTGATAAATCTCAAGCTTAATGAAGCACCATCCATGATTCAGCTGCTGTAGATAACAACATATAGAAAGAAGGCTCTTAACTCTGGATTTCGACTCAGTCTAGCCTGGACACCCCTTCTGGACTCTCTTGTCTTCAATGTGGTGTTACAGAGGATGGCACAGAGGCTCCAAGCTCAGAGCTGCTGCCCACATGATCTGGGCAGAGCTGGTGATCAGGAGCTGCACTTCAGCCGTGTGGAGGTGTGGAAGATGGAGGCAGCCAAAATCTATCTGCTTTGTAAGATGTTTTCCTTTCTATCCCCTTTCTTCACAGGAATTTATTCACAAGACTCTAATCTAGGATGACCCTTCACTCGTACAAACCTGCTGACGAGTGATGGCAGTGTCCCCCGAGTCGAGCTCACAACATGCTCAGGAGCTGCCTTCCTCTGGAGCATCCTGCATCACAGCCCCAGGGCCCTGAGTGCAAGGTGTATCTGTGAACCAACAGTGAAGCACACACCAAGGTAAGGGAGGGGGAATCCTGTGTTCTCATTCAAATGCCACATCCTTCTGGCAGCACAAACTAGGTATTTGCTTGCTTCATTGATTAAATGGGGGACTCCCACAGCCACGGTAACCAGTGGTGTCTGTGCACAGGGGGTGAACAGGGGATGAATGGTGAGGTTTTCTCTGTGTGATGATGAAAGGGGAAGTTTTAAGGTGGTTTGCTATCAATTAAAAAATACCATGAGAATCTTGAAGACAGAAAAAGACACACAAGAGCTGAATACATGGGAAAATCTGCAGCAGCAGTATGCTGCTTCTGGACGGATTTTCCTGCACGTGGAGTGAGTGCTCCCAGCAGCACTGGAGCACATGATGCACACCTGGATTTCTGGTAAGGATGCATCATATGCTTTCTGCAGAAGATGTGGGATTTAAGGTTATTCCATCCTTGCTTATGTGCCATCCCCCACCCCCAAGGAACATGGGTGGCAACTGATATGGCATTAGAAATACTGCTCAAGGAATCCTGACTGCATGGGAGGTCCTGAGCCAGGGAGCTCCGACTCACCTGCTCAGTGAGCTTCTGCTCAGCTTAGAGTTTCTGGGTCCTCATGGCATCAGAGTGGCAGAGTGTGAGTCCACCTGCCCAGGCTGGCCAGCTGCCAGAGGGGAGCTTTTGTGGTGGAGAGCCAGGCACCCAGGCAGCTGTGGTACCCCAGCAGTGGCCAGCCAGGGTTGTTCTGGGGGGGCTGTGGTGGGGCAGCTGCTTCCTCTCCAGCTGACTAAGGCAGCAGCTGCTATGGGCTTTGCTTCTGCTCCAGAGTAGTGCTGTGATTACAAGACAGACATAAAGTCACAGAATCATCATCAAAACCTAAAGTAAAGTATTCAGCTCATAAAAAATGTGTCACCTGAACAAACAGAAGAGTTACAGCTTTTCCTTCTCCCCCTTGGAGCCAAGGGGAGAGTGTGCCACTATAGCAGAAGCCTGAGGAGCCAACAGTGGCCAAAGCAGAGGATTTCACTACCCCTGGAGAAGCTCTTTCACATTTATTTGTCATATGTTTGTATTTAATGCACTGGTTAGGGGCAGGACTTGCAGACAGCCACAGATTGTGCATGTGAATTGGTGTAAACGTTATGTACGACCATTGTCAGCTCTGCTCCCCAGGAAGATTGATACACAGAATGAATCTTCTCAAGCTGCTTCTGAAAAGATTCATGACACTGCAGTGAAAGTTGCTTCCAATGGGAACCTCTGTGTACTGGTGTCAGCATATATTTTATTCCCCATGACTACAAGGGCTGGTTAGGTTATGAGCCTCCCACTGAAATGGACCGCATACAATTGCCAGATAATTGGTTCTTTTCCTTGTAGGCTGATGAAGTTATGGTTCACCTCTGACTCCCCCAAGAGCAGCAGGCACAGCACCATGGGCTGCTTATCTCTCATCCAGGTGCTCAGCCTGTCTGTCCCTTCCACCTAGCATGGCCAGAGGAGAAGCCCCAAGAGTAGAGGGCAGGGAGCAGCTGCTGAGCGTGGATTTGACCATGGGCTTGCTGCTTGAGCCGGCAGTGGGGCTGCAGGACCGCGCAGGTTCGAAGGGTGCTGGTCCAGGCTGGGGGTGGTGTGGCAGATTCAGCTGCAGAGTGATGCTGAAATCAGGTCACTGTGAGCATCGGTCCTTGACAGGTGCTGTAGCCCAGCTGTCTGGCCTTTGTCCCTGGGACCACGTACTCATCTGTTGTGGCATGTCCCAGCTGCTGCTAGTGCTGGTGCTGCAGCTGCGGCAGAGGACACGTGGAACTCTTCAAATCTTGTGCTGATTGTATCTGGCTGCAATTGAAGGCTCAGGAGACCTTGGAAAAGAGCCCTGTGCCTGCCTCCCTGTCTGATTGATCTTACCAAGGGGCCATGACTGATCTTGAAAATCTCCCTGCTCCCAACTGAGCAGTCACAGAAAGGCATCAGATATCCATCTTCCCCCTTTGGTCTTGTCCTCCTTTGGATAATGACCCTCTCCTCCAACACACCTGCTCTCTCTTCTGCTAGACCTCCTTGGTGTGCAAACATGTGGCTCCTCTATGCTGGCATTTTAGAGTGGGATTGAGCAGTGTTGCTGCTTGGAGCCATCCTGTTGCTTGCTCCTCTCCTCCTCCTTGCAGGTTTGTACAGCATCTTCACCCAGTGTGAGAAGAATCCGGGGGTGAAGTGGCGTAGGGTGGTGGGAATGCTGCCACTGGGAAGGCCATGCATGCTGGAAATATCTTTTCATCAGAAAGGCCCTAAAAGAACTGAGTCTGCCAATCAAGCACTCTACAAACAAAGATTAATGTGCACCCCTCATGCTGAGCCACAACTCTCTGTTTATTGCATTTTAACATTGTCAACAGCGTCTGCCGAGGTGCTCGCTGTGCTCTGCTGACCTCCACTATTTGGGATGGCATATGAATTGATTGTGGTTGAAAGAACTTTACTGGAATAAAATGAGCTTCTCAATTATTGCCACACAAATAAATCTCTGTGTTTCAGTAATCCCCCCCCAGGGAGCACTTCCAAAACCCTGTGTTCTTTTAGGACCTTTCTGATGGAAAGTTCTTATTTCTGTAGTTTGGCTTTTAGGATGGCTCATCTACTTTACTGGGCACCCTGTGGCAGCAGGACTGTCCAGGACTGCTGGCACCTTCTGGAGACATCTTCCCAAAAGGTGTCAGGCACATAAAAGCTGAGAGTGCTTGGGACTATCCCTGCTAAGGCCTCTTCCTTGTGCTGCCAGTTACAGTGCTCTGGAAAATAAAACATGGAAATAATTAAGTAGATTAATTAGCTAACGTTTGCACAGGATCTGGAAAATATAAAGAACTATATAATTGCTAGGTACCGTAGATTAATTAGTTAATGTTTACCCAGTGCTTTGTAAACGTAAAGGCAAGCATAGCAGTGCTAAGTATTATAATTAATTAAGTTTTCACTCTTTGTAAGATTCGTTTTGGGCAACAACAACACCAAGAGTTCAGTTTTCCAGTTTGGCTCCACAGGAGGGAAGGATGAGGGGTGCGATGTGGCCTCCAGGGATGCCACTGCAGGCAGGACAGGCTGCGGGGTGTGAGTGACACGGTCACGGCCATGGCCGTGGAGTGGGGCCTGCTGGGGTCTGGCCTTGCTTTGTGCTGCTGGTGATGGTGGCTGAGTGCCAGACCTGTGCCTGCAGGAGCAAACTACAAGGAAACTGGTGATCTGTGTAGAAGATCCCTGAGCAATGTTAGCAGGAAATTCCAGGGGCAAAAAAGTCTTTGCATTATGTTGGTGCCTGTTACTGTTCTGTGTTTCCTCCAAACTCCTCTGGACACTGTGAGGGCTGGTTCTCAGCACAGTGATGCACTGGGTGACTGTGTCCCGCTGCAGACACTTAGAGGGGGTACATGAGGGCTGGGGGGCACAGGGCAGGGGATGGGGTGTAGCAGACTCGCTGTCTTGCTGCACAGCAGTCCCATTGCTGCTCCCATGCCTATTGTCTAGACAAACATATGAACTCTTCCCTTTGGGCTCCAGGAAACCCTGCATTTGGCATGTGTCCAAGGGTGGTTTGCATGTGCACTGTGGCTGTTTGGGCACGGGAGAATGAGGATTATTGCTTGGTGCAGTCAGCTGTACGTAAAAACATGTTGTGCTCTTAGAGGGCCCTACATAAGAACAGCAGTTGCAGCTCGTTTGTCTCTTTTATCTGTCTATGGCAGCTGCTGAGGGCACATGTGGGTTCCACACTTGGATGTCACTGAGATGCAGTCGTTCCTGTGCAGATCTGCAGTATGTGAAACCCTACAGTGCAGGCATTTCCTGGAGACCAATGTGAATAGCTGGAAAAGGCTGAAGGAACTCGTAGGAACTCTGATGACCTCTATGTACGTACAGTTCACTGCAATAAGAAATACCACTGCCTCACACTAACAAGTGCTGCAAAGAATTAAAAACTGCCTTTCATATTTCTAATTTTCTTTATCCCGTTTAGTCTGTGGAGCTCAGAACCAATTCAGCAGTTCCTGTATTATCTTAGAATAACTTCCCCTGATTCTTACTTTTTAGACAGCAAAGGAGGCAAAGTACTATCATCCATTCATTAAGAAGTTGCTCTTTTACGCTGCCTGAACCTTGCAGCCTCAGTGTGCTCCTGCCCTGGATCAGGGAGATGTGAAACTTACTCTATATTTATTAGCAGATAGAAACTGCTCTGTCTGTGCATTTGTTTGGGTAAATAGTAAGAGCAGGATTTCCCATGCTTGTTCAACAAGTTAATTCACTTGGAATTCTGTCTCCCAGACATATGCTCCCACACTGTTCCTAATGATCTGGGTTAGTAAGCAGAAGGCACTCCTTTTCCCATGCTCATGAACTTGGAGGGAGGCAATGACATGATATCGATCACTTTTGGAGACCTCTTCACAAACACTGTGAATCTGATGCAGTAACTGGAAGTGTGTGTTAATCTCACCCAGTCTGTAATGGCCTAAAGTGGCAGGCAAGCCAGGAGATGCAGTGGAGGGGAGGCTTGGAGTGTTGAGCCAGTGGCCACACGAGGGAACCGCTTCAGAAGGAGAACACCAGGGCTGTATCACAACACCACTGACTGTCATGTGAGTGCAGAAGCACAAAGAGAAGGAAGAAGAATCTGGTCCTAAATGAACAGGAAATTTGGAGCCTCCTAAGGTTCACTGCCCACCCTGCTCCATTCCCAATTTGCTCTGATCATCTCTTCCTTTTCTTGCTAGGCATTGTGCTCATGTGTAGGACTGCAGCTCTCTGCAGAGCAGGACATACAGAGCCTCTGGGATGGTCTGCTCCAGTACCGGGGGTAGGACTGTGGTCTTCTGTCCAGTGGCAGCTGTGTGCTGCTGTCGCTCTGGCTGCTCCCTTCCAGTGCTGCATGCCCAGGCATCAGTCTCCGTGTGGAGGTGTGCCAAAAGCCGTGCTTGTAGTTGTGTCACTGATGCTCTGGGAGATAAATGGGAGGGGGAACAA